GCATATACATATTATATGTAGAATATACATGTGTAGCAAACACATTGTGTACATATATTATATGTACCTGGAACCCACTTGATCCCTGCTTGATAGGAAACGACGATATTTAGGATTTTGGCGGTCCAAAGAAAGAGGTCACTCAGGCTCCAGGCACCTATAGACCCCGAGTGACCTCTGTTTTAGATCGCCCACGACCCGCAGTTCAGAAAAACGGGCGTCGACATCACGTGGGTTTGCAGGTTCCCCCTGCGAGTCCAGCGGATGAAAGCAAATGGGACTTGGTGACCCCAAACAGATATGTCCTGAACACAACTTGCTGGCACCTAACATACACTCCGAACTAACATGGTTACGTTGATGGCATGGCCCCTAACGGAAGACCTTGTTCCTCTACAAACAAGGGGTTTTCCACTTCCATGTGAATCCCAAGGGTAGTCCAACTCCACTTCTGGGGTCCTGTCTTTTTGGATTTAACCACCCTCCGCCCACCCTCCGCCCTCGAAAACAGGACACCCAGAACGCAGAAACCGTTTGCAGAAATGGGATGTCCACCAGCAGCTTGCGGGGGGGTCCCACCAGCACCACCAGAGGTTTTTGTGGCTCATCGATTTTGTTCTCCCACCACCGTGACACGACCAGGTCGACGGAACCTTCGATTCGTGACTCACGACTCTCTCCCTCCCCCCATCCCCACTCTCGGAATGCGTCAAAAAACGAGTGAACCGAGATCCCCCAAAAGTGAGGGGGTGTATCCCCCAACAGTTAATACATAAAACGTTTTATAGAGGGGGATGACCCCCCCCCATTTCATAGTGGATATTCCAACAGGGATGAACCGAGAGTGACTCCAAAAAAAATAAACAAATCCAGCTGTCGATCCGTGTGGAACACACCTGGTCAATGTCTTGACCGAATGCCAAAAGACAAGGCCATGTGGACGGGTGACCGGACGACCTTTCTTAAAAAAACAACAAAAAAAACACAAAGAATAATCACACATGGATGATCTTGAAATCAGGAGGACCATGGCCATGCCGTTCTTGGAACCAGAGGTCTTTAGGTTGACTGACCAATGCATTAGAATCTGACAGCCTTACATTGTGCACACTAAATGTAATCACGTGTTCATGCTATGTTCATTTCTATCTTCATGGGCATCATCATCAATTTGGAGCATGGTCTTCTTTCCAATCATCCCTGTTTTCCATTTTGGGTGTGTGGTAGTCTTGCTTACTGCAGTTTGCCGACAAAAATGACAGCAAAACTGCTGGAAATGCGACCCGAGTGAAAGCAAAACTGCGTTGGGTGAAGGTCCCCTAGAAGGCCCTAGCTCCACTGATCATTCAAGATATGTGTGAATTTCATATGTTTTTGATCTTTTCAATGCATCCTCTAAGCAAGGCATGTTGGTTATTGCGCTGTTTGGATCGCATTTCTGCATCCCCCAACTGCTTCACCGGTCTCACACACCTCCCACACACCTCCCACACACGGCCCCCCGGTGTCAACACGCCTTCTCCCTCCTCCTCAGCATGAAGCCCTTTCCGGTCGCACGGCCGAAGCGTGGCCGCACGCTTCAGGACCGGATGTGAGGGGCCCACGTCGTTCTCCCCGGTCCGGTCGCTGCTCCCCCACTCCATGTGCGGAACTCAGGGGGGTGAGTCAACACCTGATGAATCGAGGTGCCCACAGCACCGGTCGGAACTCGGAACCGGAAATGTGGGGGGTTTTCGATGGAGGGAGGGGGTTGGAGCCGGCTGCGGCTTCAAACACCGGGTCCCAAAAAAGGCACCAGCAGGTCGGAACGAAGCGGTTTCAGCGCCTCCGGCCAGGAGGAGGACTTGGAGGCTCTCGGCCGTGCTGCGATCCTAGCGGATCGGTTCCGAACGGCACGGGTCGAGCGCTGGGTGGTGCGGGCTGGGACGGGAGAGAGGCTCCCCCAACACTTGCACGAAGCCCCGCGCAAGTGTTGGCGCTGGGTGGGGCGGTTTTGGTTGCGGCAGGAGGTGTTCGTGAAGGACTTGCGGCAGGTGCTCCGAGGTTGGCAAGACTTCAACCCCCAAAAGACTTCCCAAAGACGGCCCCAGGAGATTCAACCACTGGCCCTTCGGCGATCCCAGATCTCATCGGCGAGATCGGCGATCCCAGACCCCGCTCGCTCGGCAAGGGTTCAGTACGTCGAATCCTCTGAACTGGGATTGTGATGATGGTGATCCCCTGGGAGTCCAGTCGACTATTTTTAAAACGGTCTGACGAAGGGTGATCCGAGTTCAGGAACTTCCGAAAAAAACACTTGGGTGGTGCCTATAAGAGTCGAACTGGACTTCTAGGGATAGACTCATAGATGTCCAGCTCCCCCAATCCTTGAAGGTTCCAACCGTTGCCGTCGTTCACCGTCTCTCCGTCTCTCAGTCTACCGGTGGCGTCCTCGGCAGTACCGAGGCTTCCCAACAGATACGACTGCAGCAGCAGCAGCTCTGCCTGCTTAGGGCGACCCGGATGTGGTTTTTTTCGAGGATGAGAGAGGATGGCGATTCACCTACCCACTGGAACCTCTGAACGGCCCATTGTGAAGCTCAGTTGTTGAGCAAAAACATCACTTTAGAAGTTCTAAGCTAGCTTGGTACTGTACCAAGTGAAGAGCATCACTCTCCAACATCTGGCATGATACACTCCCGATCCAACCATGCGAAAAAATAAACGACGCCACATCCACTCCTGTGTTTAACAAAAAAGACACCGACACCCTCAAATCATGCCATCCACTTTCATGGGAAAGTGAGTCAGAAGGTATATCGTGCGGAGCATTGGATTTCAGTTGTTTGATGTTGTTCCCCAAGCGCTCAGCACTGTGGATGACCAGCCATATAGCGAGTTCATGCCCACCTGCCGGGTGGCAACAACCTGCAAAAGGACAAACACATCACTCTTGTGCCTTTGCGACAATGCCATGGTAGGCTTCTTGGCGCCGGCGGGTTGCACTTATCCCAAAAACACCCAAGCATGGCAAACACCAGCTGCCGGATGCCCCGTCCAGGCTCTTGACCCGTCTAGATAGCCATAAAACTGATGACCCGTCCAGGCTGCCATAAGTCTGAGACGTTGAAGGAGACTCAGGAAACAGGCTCACCATAAACAAGCTGTTGAAAACTAAACGAACAAGATATATGTTTGGTTTCGCGAACTCCGAAATCATACGAAAACCAACTGTTTTTCTTCGCTCGAAAACGAGATCGCCCCAAACACAGCGCTCGAAAACCCCGCGCCCGTCGGGTGGTCCCGGCACCCAAGCGCAGGCCGGAGGCCAAAGCCAGCCTGTTCGAACCCACCGTGCGACCGGGTTCGGGCCGCTCGAGCCTTGGGGGTTGACACTTCCTAGGACTCCAAGCAAATCCTCAGCCCTAGACTTCCTTAGGACCATTTAATTTAAAAAATGGTTGACCTGGTTTTTGTAGTGTACAATCCTTAGTTGATTCGGTAAAGCAGGCATAGTAATTTAAATGGTTGTTGGAAGCCTAGGGCCTAGGGTCAGATTAGACCGGTTAGACCCCCGGTCCCACCTTCTTTCAAGAGCTGTGGTGGTCCGGCCGGCTCGACCAAGTCACATGGCGACGTAGCGCTCACCACCAAGCTGCTGGGTCATAACCGGATTGATTTCATGGTCCAACCGACCATGTTCCACTTCCATGGTCAGTGAAACTTCCACTTCCATGTTCCACTTCCATGTTCCACTTCCATGTTCCACTTCCACTTCCATTGATGCTGTTTCAGTTCCAGGGAGTCCACTTCGGCTTCAGCTAGCCGCCGGTTTGGGTTCGATCATGGTCAGCGCTGCGTGGCCGTCGCGGTCGCTGCGCTGCGTGGCAACGTTCCCCCGCGAGGAATGGCAACGAAGCATCGAAGTGTCTAAAAAGCAAACCCCAGACGCTTTCCTCATGGGACTGCCAGTCCGGACTGCCTTCGAAACGGCCAGGGGGTGGTGCCTGGGGGAGAGCCAACTGATCGGCATGTTTTTACCAGTCCCATGGAGCGTCTGGGAACTAGATTCTTCCCCCCCAAAAAGAAATCAAAGGACTTGACCATCTGTCTGGACTTGACCATCTGTCTGGACTTTGGGTGATCCTTGCCCGGTCGGAAACGGCGAGGTCTGAATGCGCTGCGCGCATTCAGACGCCCACGAACGAGCTGAAACTGCGCCGCTGAAACTGCGGCCTCATCGGGCGTTCTGCGCAGCAGCTTCGATCCCATTGGGGGGGCGCAGAAAGCTTCGAGGAGGAGGGGGATGCTGCAGACGTTTTCCGGCGAAAGAAGGGGAGGAGTTACCACCGTCGGAAATCCCAAAGAGATCCAACATGCTATGCAGTGCTATGCGCAGTTCTTCCTGTCGTCACCCCGGACCGTGTGCGTGGAGTCGTGTGACACCGACTCCATGTGGCGAGCCATGCGACTCGCGACTCGAGCCCATGTTACTCAGTGACTATCTTCTACCTTCGAGTCGTCTATGTGTCTCTGCAGAAAAGGAGCGCAGCCAACATCAGCCAACCAAAGCCTCTTCGATCATCCAAAATGGCCCAAGTCCTGCATGGTTACCTTCTGTGTGATCCATCTGGTTTCTTTGCAAAGAAATGCTACAACGTGACGTATCTGAAGCCAACGACTTTGCAGCTGAAGATCAATCCAAAGACGGGAGCTGCTGTTTCAGAATCGCAACCTGGGTTATACAAATCAAGTTGGGCCTCATCCTATGAATGCATCGGAATGGAGCTAGCACTTCAGTCAGCCTTTTTTCCGATCACAAAGCCCCAACAGCACCCCTTTGGGGTGGAGTCTTCTGCACAAGTTGCATTGGCCCGATGCCGTCCGACGTGCGACGCAGTTCGGCATCGTGAAAAATCCCAGCTTTTTCAAGCTCGTGCTCGGCTTTTTGAGGCGAGACCGCACATGAAAAGGGTCAAGCTGACCCTGAAAAAGGGGCACAGGATGTTGGTTCTTCGCCATCAAAACGAAAAGGTCTGACGAACCAGGTCTTGAAAGGCTGCATCCTTTGGCCGGACTTCATGCGAATCTTCAGCCTGCTTGAAGTTCTCATCCTCGCGAAAAATGAAACAACTCCGTGTGGAATTGATTGGACAAAAGAGAAGAGACTGAGAGACCCGAACTCTATCAAAACCACTTAAGTTCAACGACTCAAGAGGCATGTCCATCGAATTCTTGTGTCATGGCCAAATGTTCTTCTTTTGTGGCTTTATGATCAGCAACAACATCCAACACTGCGTCCCATATCGCGCCGCAGCGAAGATCTAATCTCACCCCCCGAAGCCCCCCCAAGATCTGCTGCCTTTTTTGCACCTGCATGCTACAGGCGTGTCGTTACAGGCGTGAAAAACCTGGAAATTCCGGCTACATCTTTCGCCGGGCGACCGAGCATCCCACCGAGTTTAGGCAAAAAATGATATGTAATAGCGCAAATCCACTGTGGCTTCAGATGGGCTCACCCCGCCAGCCCCACCCTATGTTGCAGAATCAGCATGCAATAACCATCATGATGGAGTGAGTCTTCCGGGTTCAAGAACAGCTTTTAAACCTAAACGAAGCGGGCAAACCGCGCAGACACTGCGCGCGTGGAAAAGGAGTCAACATAATCAACATAGCCATTTCGTGCAGCCGGATGGTGAAAAACCTATGCCACACACCCTCTACATGTGCCAACTATGCGCCCCGAAACGTCTTTGCGCAACCAAGCCAAGCACGGCCAAGCAAGGCAAGGCAAGGCAGCAAGCAAGAGCTGGTCTCTTCGAACTGATAGGCAGCCAGAAATCTAGAAGCAGCCTTCGGTTCCTCCGCAGCCTTCGGGTCCGCCCTCGTCCTGCGAGCGATCGAGATCGCTCTCCGCAGTCAGGCGCTCGACCGTCTGCAAGCGCAGAAAGCCATCCTCCGAGAGGCTGTGGAGGAGCAGCGTCCTGGAGGATGGCGCCCGCCGCGCGGACCATTTGGAGCGAAAGACAGAGAAACTGACTGACTAGACCAGGGGTGACTTACCGGTCCTTGCGTCTGCTTTGAACAAGCTCCCAAAAACACGGTCGAACTACGGTTGCATGTCCAAAAAGGACTGTGTGCTTTCTGACTCATGACTCATGACTCATGAAGTGTCCACCATCCTTCTCTTCATCCGACTGATCCGCTCGCCCACAATCCGACTTTCCCTTACAGACTCATCCGCAAGCAGCTCAAAATCCACGCACAAGACCTTCAAAGCCTCAGGAGCGCGAGTATGTCGCAGGAGCGATCTGTTTCCGGGGAAAAGATCACTTGGAAATGGCTAAAAACAACCTGTTCCACTTGGAAATGATCTGTTTTGCAAATGGCTAAAAGATCCACACCTGTTTTGGGTCTTCGGGTTGACCATGGATTGCGTCATGCCGAGTTCTCCGGGGCCATCAACGGCGAGTGTATCTCGAGGCCAATCAACCAGGCCTTTCTTTGGCCCACCAACTACCCAACATAGGCCTTTTCCTATGACAAACTGGTGTCAGATGGCTCGATCCTAGATCTGTCCAATGGACCAATCAAGGAGGTGGATCAACCTACCCACCCCACCCCATCAAAAGCAGCTGAACCATCGACTCGGAAGATCGATGGTTTCCATCGACAAACCCGTGTCCAAAATCGACGTGTCAAACTCTCTCTCCCGCTTGAGTTGGCTTTTGATCGCCAGATTTCACAGCCATTTTCATGAAGCCCAAGAAGCACTCTCGACTGCATGAATGTCATAGAGAGACAATCCACTCGACATCTTCCTGGAAGATCGGATGTGTCTGTCTACACCGTCGATACCGAACACCATTGTGTTTATATCATCGTCGATACCGAACAACCATAGAGTTTTGCAAAGGACTTTACATGACGAAAACAGCTCAGAAAAACTGAAAAATCGTCGAACAAAAGGCTCAGGTATCCAAAGAGCAAAATCTGTCAAAGCACGGATTGGGCATTTTGGGATTCCGGGTGAAAGGAGAAACACGACTTTTAGGACCGATGTGTTTGTTACATCAGCATGTTTGAACCGAGCTGTGCACTGAGCTGTGCTACTTGCGCTTCTGTGCGACCTGGAGCTTTCTCTGGGACCTTTCTTTTTGTCCCTCAATGAGCCGACCGACCAATCACCAGCCAAATCACCGGACTCGTGTACCCAATGGGTGGACTCGAGTCGACCGTTTGGTACCGCTCCAGAACACCGGATGACGAGTCGACCAACGGACTCGGACGGACGGACTCGAGTCACACACCCAGCAGTCACGTGACCGACGGGGTGTGGCTCGTCCCAGCCGTTCGGGGCGATGTGATGTGACAGGGGCACCCCGATGGCACCGGAGTCCGCACCCCGTCGGTCACGTGACTGCTGGACCAGAGCGTGCGGCTCGAACAACGGAGCGTGGCGTTGGCCCGATCTCACATGTGATTCCGATCACATCGAGCTCTTCGGGTCACTTCGGGGATGCGCATCGGTCGCTGCAGACTCCACTTCCCTAAAACCCATCCAGCCGAGGGTCACGCCTTGAGCCTCCCTTCCCACATCCAAAGTGCCTTGCTCCTAGTAGCTATTTGCTACTAGTAGTGCCAGGAGCTACTAGTAGCTCCCAAAGTCGCTGATTTGGAAAACATCCCACGGCCCGTGATTCACCTGTATACCAGAACCTTCCTTTCGATCGATCAATCGTGTGGTTTTGGGACACCCCGGATGACCCACCTCGTCATCACCTCGGCTAGGCAGCTAGACAACCCCTATTCGTTCGGGTTTGGCGGCTCCACGTGTTGGACACGTCATAGGTCGGAGGTCCACTCCCCCCCCAGTGGACTTGGAGGGCCCCTTCCGCTCCTCAACAGCGTCTGACGCTCGACTTCGTGCTTCCGCATTAAATTGGCGCACATGGAGTCCAAAAGCATGAGCAGGTCGGCCGGACGGAAGGGCGTCCCCAGGTTCAGCAACCGGATGTGCGATCCTGGCGAAAGACATCGGAACCAGGATCCGGGGCGTTTTCGTGGCAACGTGGAGAAAAGACCCCCACCAGAAGAGGTGGCGTTCGGCACATCTGACCCTTCGCACAATGGCCTGTTTGAGAAACGTCTCTGGCTGACATCGAACTGAGGTCTCTTGGGCCGCTCAGTCACACAGTGACTCAGTCCTTCTGTCCGACAACACCGTTGTAGGGCTAACATGCCCATCATGAGGCAGCCCAAAGAAGTAATGAGTGCGAGACTGAAGAAGAAGATGATGGATCCAAAGGCATCCAAGAAGGATTGTGAGTCCACGGGTGACAAGTGTAGGGCCACTGCCAACAAGGTCAGAAACAAGACTGTGGAAACAGCATCGACGAGGTTGAGCAGTGGGGCTTTCCAAGGGAGCACATAGAGCTGAAGGCTAAGAGAAACAATCCTCAGCTGTGTTTAACTCCTTTGCGAAGGAGCTGTAACTGCCCTGTTAAAATACAAAAGAATAAGAAAGAAAATAACAGAAAAGGAACGAAACGAAAAGAAAGGGAAAGCTTCAATTTGTCCTAACAAGGATCATGATCAAACTCATCACCAGCAGCTGCACCCCTTGTGCGTCGGGCGCGATGACTTGTCCCACGGAGATGAAAAGTCCTAGGGGAGGAGGAGGATCCAGTGGTGGATCATCCTCTTTCAACATACTTCAACACCAGTTGGATTGTTGGCGTTTCTACCTACCAGCCCTACCAGCTCAATCAAAGCCTGTGGACTGTGGCCTATGGAAAATAAACCAGCAAACCGCATGAGCAAATCACCCCGGTCATACCCGGAACCTGCCTCGAAGTAGTATGATCAAGCTGTACCACCAAGAAGATGGTCGAAAGTTCAGGATGAGAAATCCCACACTGGTGAGCCGATCTGGCCTCTTCCTGGACCAAGAGGGTGCTTGATAGCAAGCCCAGCAGCAAAGGACGAAGTGGCTGGCACTCAAGGTCAATACAGCAACCCCAGCCATTCTCATGATCCCATGCTCAATGCTGCCGCAAAGCATGTTGGGGTATTTCAACATGCTATGCAATCCATTTGGATGAAGGTAGCACATGAAAGGAGAGAGGCCAATACTGCACATGGTCACGAAGAGAGATTGATAGATCTTGCCTATCGTGCAAATGGTCCTGTAGAAGCTCCAGCTTAAATCCCTGCGCCGCAAGCACGGCACCCACTGTGAGAGATAGCCCAAGCAGGGTGCAACTGCAGCAAAGCTCAGGAAGAGTCCCGCAGCGACCAGGTACTGGTTCAAGTCACTGCTAGAGGTGCAATTGAGACCATAAGACTGAAGACTTAGCACAAAGACCTGCAAATTTGGATGGAATTGGGTTATTATATACCCCCTACATATATATATATATATAAATACTTGGTGGGACAAAAAAGGAAAGAGATCTTGTCGGTTTGAGCAATCCCATGTTTGTCCCATCCAAAAACTGAAAACGTTTGTTCAGAAACCAGACCATAAAAAACCAGACCAAAACGGCCAAACCATACGTTCAACCTCGCCCTCAGTCGGCCTCCGAGAACTCGAAGAGTTCCTTCAGGCCCTCCGGCCACGGAACGATCACCAGACTCAGGACGCCGATGTTTTGCACGAAGTTCAGCATCATCTCGAAGCCCATGCGCGAGCATTCGGCCAGCGAGGGCAGGGCCAAGTAGTGTGTCTCCACCATGTAGTAAGCAGCGACCAAGAGTGCAATCACTAGAATGGGCAAGCAGTACCAGAACGCCTTCAAAGACACCTGGCAGACCGAGCATTGGCCATTTTCCCAGTACTCTCCATCAGAGCATGCAGCACATGTGGGACCTAGGGCTCCCCCTTGGCAAGTTCCTGGGCTTCCACCAGGGCATCTTGCCGTGCGACATTTGAAGACCTTGAGAGGTTCTGCCGGCCAGCTGAAAAATCCAGCTGCGATTCCAGGCACTTGATCAGCCTTACTTCCAGTTTGGTCGCCTGACTGGAGCAGATTCATCGTGCTGCCGTCTGGGCAAGTCAATCCATCAGGGCAGGCCGCACAATGAGCAACTTCCGATTCAGCAGAAGATAAGTCAATGGAACCTGCTCGGCAAACGCATTCGGAGCCTCTCTTTGCCCCTAGCAAGAGTGTAGTCGTCCCTTGTGGGCATTCTTTGCACGTCTGTGCTCCAGTGTGGTTTTGGTAGAAGCCCTTCGGGCATGGTGTGCACTGATCACTGGATTGCACAGCCTTGAAAGTTCCCACAGGACAATTCTTGCAAACCACTTCTCCGGCAGCCGGCTGCTCCGTGCCAGCTGGGCAGGGGGTGCAGACATAGCTCCTACCTTGATCGTCTTGAAAGGAGTCCGAATACGTGCCCGGAAGGCACGCCTTGCAGCCGGTGGCATTTGGTCGAGACGAGGTGAACTCACCCAAATACTCATCATGAAGACCATAGCCACGTGCACATGCGGTGGGATCCGGAATCCAAGGACGCCAGCGTGTCTCGTGGCTTCTCAGCCACTCACAAGCCGCCTCGTGGATCGAATGACCAGCCTTTCGGGCTCGCATCAGGTCGTTCACTTCGCTCAGATAAATCCTCGGCACCGAGCGTCGTTGTTTTGACACGACGGCGGGGCGGGCATGTGCGGGAAGAAGCTCTGCACATCCGTACGGCTGTTCCGACGAGATGCCTGAGGAATCCAAAAAAATCCAGAGCTGCCTGCAGCAACCCTTTGGTCTCCTCTAGTCCCTTTCTATGTCTTTTTTTCACCACTCCCCAATCCATCTGCCGAAGCACTGGCTCTGCCGCAGAAACTGCACCACCCCAGGCGCCATGAATTCCAAATCGTGGCTGATCAGCTTAGTGAGGTGCACCGCCTCCATGGCAGAGGTGAGATCCTGTTGGAGGTGCGCGAGCTCACTCCGCCGAGGAAAGATCAACGGAGTCGGATTCAACTCCAGAAAGGAATCATCCGGCGTCCACCAATTCAGCCTGGCAGATGGGAGTTACACTCACATGAGTCAACACACGAGGTTGCTTAGATACCCTAGCAAGAATTCTGTGTGTGGCTGGGATTTATAGATGAAAGGGCAAACATGTTGCGTAGTTGGAAGATCTAGATATATACGTAATGGTTCCACTTGTCAGCTATTTCCCCGAAAGTTTGTGGGTCGAGGTTCAATCGAAAAGTGCCTCGAGGTAACTCGCAATCGGAGGTAAGTCCATCGGTGGGGGAGCCATGTTGCGCATGGAAATACCATCACCGGGTGTTGCATCCAAGGGTCAAGGTCGTATAAGCAGAAGGCAACGCCACGTACTTGCTCCAGGAGCGAGCAACAGCGATTCCCAGCGGAATGTTGAAGACAGCAGCTCGTTGCATGCCTAGCACACTCGTCCGGCTGAGTCCGAAAGGGAGTCCGGTCGGTCGTTGGGTTGCACAGAGCGAGCCTCTGGTCGGTGTGACAGATGCTGAATGCTGATGGCCTTTCCATCTCCATCTGGCGACCTGACCTGTCAGCACCACACCGCACCAACATCGCCAGGGACTGTGGCGAGTCCCGTTTTCGACGCGACGCGACTCGCGCGGAGACGGTTCGCGGCGCCTTGCAACACGCCCCAGCCATTGCCCCCCGTCAGGTAGATCACACAGCTAGATGGCCAATTCCTGTGGCACCCACGAGGTGACCCGGCACATGAAGCTCGCTCAGGTGAACGAAAACAAACAGCGACGAGCGGCGTGGTCAAGGATTTGTAACATCATCCCCATCTTGAAAGCCTGGAATATCCTGGACGTGAACTTGCCAAACAACCCATCTAGGGCACCATAAGGAAAATAGTTGCTCCCAACCAATGCCACTCACATGTTTGCCTGTGATTTGTCCATCGGCTCTTGTCAATTCTTCATCCTCTGCATCACCTGCATCATTCTGAGCACCGTTCCCACCGAGAACATGTTCATTCAGTGGTCCACTGAATGGACCTCCAAGTCCGTGGACAGGTCCATCGCTTGAAATCACTTGAAATGACCCTCCAACAACTCGTTTGCCTTTTTTGGTGCGAAAGCTAACAAGCAAACGATGCTTCAGCCGTTTCAACTTCAGCCCATGAATCCAATTGCCACCTGGATCCTTCGATAAACACAATGCAGTTCATGTGCAAATCATCCGACCTGCACGAAGGAGACATCCAAGTGTAGCCATTCTCGCAGAAGGCGGCATACTCTTGTCCCGTGATGACCTGAGAACTTCAGGCAGTTCAGAGCGACAGACAAACCAAACCAAACCAAACCAAAGACAATGTCAACGTCACGACCAGTTCTCGTTCATTTCGCCATGATGTAAGTTCAGATCAGTGAATGCCATCATGTCATCACTTCTCTATGCCATCTCAACCTACGACCGGAGACTAAGGCGCGGGCAACGCCATCGTCGTCACCCGTGAGTTTCCAGTAGTAGTAGCCAGTTGCATTGTTCACAAGCATGGTGTCCACGCAGGGCATGAAATCGTCCGTGAGGTTCATGACTGTGATGTTCATGAAAAATCTCCACGGCTTGTGCCAACCTAAAGAACTTCGGCGACACCGGACCAACAGTCGTGTCGGACCAAAGCTCGACGGGGGTCGGCTCCGACATGCGGAGGACCAATCTTCCGCAAGGTCGACGGGGAGGGGATTCCGCGGCGATGCTATGCTTTGCACCATCCACCCGCACGTTTCTCCTCCGGTCCGCGCGGGGTCCGAGGACCCTCCAGGTGAGACCGGACTCGAGTCCGACCAACGCGGCCGTCGTCCGGCACCGAAGCACGGAGGTCATATGGATCCTCTTCGCAGCCGCGAACGGAACACGTCCTGAAGTCATATGACTAGTGAATAGCAGCACGTGGGACTGGTCTTCAGATTGATTTGATGGTTGTCCAAAGGGGGGAAGAGATGCCATCAAAGTTGAGGGTTGGGAGGCCGGATGCTAGTGTTGCGAGTGCCATAATCCCAGAATGGAGGCCTACCACGAGAAAACCGACGTGAGCGATCCTCTTTCTTCAGCTGAGTCACTAGCATTGTAACTCTTATAGAAGTCCAAAGCAATGCCTTCAGCTTGCCCTGCTTGCATTGCACGCTGAGGCACAAAAAATTCCTTCATCACCTCAGCTGGTGATGAGATCCTTGGATTCATCATGGCCTCAGACTACCTCCACCAACAGGGCTCAACTCCACTTCTGTTCCACAAGTATCAATGGATGGTATCTGTCCCAAGTTGTCTCTAAGCGCCTTTTTGCAAACCGTGAAACAAAAATGTGGCGAGACACCATCGTATCCCATCTCTCCTCCACTGACAGGCATCTCAGCCTGCCAAGGTTTGCGGGAACCAAACACATCTTCCAAATGATCGTGTCTTGGTGCTCAAAAGTCGCACCACCCTGAATACTCTCGAGTCTCAAGGCAACAAAAAGGTGGCAAATAAACCAACCCAGACCATAAAACATCCATGGGGCTGGCATATATACCGATCAGTTGGGGTGGTTGAAGTGGGGTCAATGTAGGCAAATATGCCAGTCCCCTGGACGGTCTGGGCAACTCAGTAACAGAAGAACTTGTGTATCCGCGATGGCCTCCAACCCAAGAGCGACTGCCTCCAACCTACTAGAGATGGCCTCCAACCTACTAGCGATGGCCTCCAAACTACTAGTGATGGCCTCCAACCTAATACCAGTGGCCTCTAACCAAAGAGCGATGGCCTCCAACCTACTAGCGATGGCCTCCAGAGCGGTGGCCTCCAACCAAAGAGCGATGGCCTCCAACCTACTAGCAATGGCCTCCAAACTAAGAGCGATGGCCTCCAACCTACTAGCGATGGCCTCCAACCTACTAGCGATGGTCTCCAACCTACTAGCGATGGCCTCCAACCTAAGAGCGATGGCCTCCAACCTAGGAACGATGGCCTCCAACCTAAGAGCGATGGCCTCCAACCTATTAGGGGTGGCCTCCAACCTACTAGCGATGGCCTCCAACCTACTAGCGATGGCCTCCAACCTACTAGCGATGGCCTCCAACCTAACGGCGATGCCCTCCAACCTAAGAGCGATGGCTTCCAACCTAAGAGCGATGGCCTCCAACCCAAGATCGATGTCCAACCTACTAGCGATGGCCTCCTACTAGCCATGGCCTCCAACCTACTAGCGATGGCCTCCTAGGGATGGCCTCCAACCTACTAGCGATGGCCTCCAACCTACCAGCGATGGCCTCCAACCTACTAGCGATGGCCTCCAACCAACTAGCGATGGCCTCCACCTAGTAGCTTCGATTTACTAGATGCGCCCATCCGCCTTGTAGATCTCTGTCAAGTCTTCGACCACGTGCGTCCAGCCTAACCACCAGCTCTCGACCAGGAGATGATTCGTCACTTGACCTTGGACGTCGCCACCAGCGCTCGATCCGCCGATTCCATGGAGCGCATGGAGCGCGTGCCAAACCATCGGTCTCTTGGGTGTTGCTACAAACCATGACTTGGAGGCCCACCCTTCATTGGTGGGAAAAAAAGAAAACACATGTTGGCTGATACTTCTAGAAATAGTTATTCGGTTCAAAATGATGAGGGCCCCAGCTCATGAATTGTCCTCCACAGATTTACAGTGCATTGCTTCTCCCCGAAGTTTAGGAAAGGAGCAACCCTGTTGGCAAAAGCTTGAATGACCGTCTTGCGCGAAACAAATGTAGGCGGGACACACAAGCCTCTTATTAAGGTGCCATCTGGAGCTTGTAAAGCTAGCCAGCACACAGAGTCAACACTGCTGTTGCTGGATAAACAGCAACTTCTCCTGCTTCAAACACCCTCAATTAATACCCAAATTGAGACTGTACTGGTTGATCTTACTGATTCGCAACATTGACTTGTGCCCAAAAGAAGTGTCACCTCATGTCACCTCTTAGCCTGACTCAGAGAGCAGGTGACAAGAACTGAATCTGGCAAGAATGAAACCATGAGCAAGGAGGTTCCAACCATGCCCATGCAGTGGTAAGCAACTTCTTCAACTTCAAACCCAAAAACTTCCCCCTCCCCTGTCTCATCTGAGCATCGTGTGTCGCAACCGCGATCCTTCTCATTCATCCAGGTCCGACAGCCTAGCACCGCATGGATACCCGCTGCGCCATCCACCGCTGCTGTCGGGTCTACGCCTCGCCGTCGTGCCGAGTGCCGAGGCACGGAACGGTCGGCCAGTGGATAAGCAACCGTTCCCACTTGTTGGGTGCAACTCATGGTGCAAGCAAGATTCGCACATGGTACCCCAGCATTTCACTGATGAGGATTTCCATGAGTGCACTCACCAACTCAGCAGAAGCCCATGCTTGCACCACCATCCCGACTGGAAAGGACTCTCCCTCCGCATTGGTCAGGTTCTTGCGAAGGTCCGCGCTGACCGCCGTCGGCAAACACAGGGCACGTGGTCCAGACACTGCGCCGGTGGAGGCCACTGGGCTGAGACTCAAGAGGCACCATGCAAGCTGTAAGCGCCTGCACCACGAAAAGAAGTACCGCAATGTTTTTTCCATCATTGACACTACTTGAACAATCTTCCAAGTGGCTATGGCTATTTTAGTAAAAACAAAAAACAATGCTCCGATCCATCTTGCCCGTCACCGGCGACTCTGTTGGCGGTCGGATTCTGGGCATGGGGGGTGGCCCATAACGGTGGATCCTCGGTCCAAAAGCTGCTCGCATCGGAGAACCAGAATGCACCCCCCACCCGCCGAGTCGTTAGGAACCCATTCGACCGTGGGAGCCTCCACATCGGTCTCCCCGTTCGGGGGGGCCGCCGCGCGGGCGTTGAGCCAACGGCTGCGACTCTTGGGGGGTGTGGAGGGGTCACCGCTCTGGACCTGTTTGCTCAAGCTCAAATGGTCCTTCACAGGTCGCACTGGTGGTCCCAAAACCTCTCGCTCCAGGCCGGTCATGAGGTGTGCATGCTGCAAAGCAGTGAAACCTGGTTTTTTGGGCAACGCCCAAAATACCTTGCACCACAGGAGAGCTTGAAAACGATTCTGAAAGAAAACATTGAAAATTTTACCACTCAAAAACTGAACATGCACATCACGTTTACCACCGTTCACCCTTGGGTACTGCAACCGCTACTTCTCCCTCAAAGAGAATCAACACAGCATATTGATAATTGCATTGTTTGTTCTTCATAGGACATCTTCATCAAAAGGTGAAGCCGGTGACAAACTACATTGGACCATAAATCAAAAATCTTAATTAATTTTGCAGAGAATGGTATTCGTACAGGTGATATGAATTTATATGATTATATGACTGTATATTATATATGATATGGATAAACCACAGCTGGATTGTGAAATTGTGAGAATCCAGGAGATGGAGAATCAGGAACATGGGAGAAATGTGAAGGAACTGGAGAGCTGATGGACTGATGCATTCGCAATGCAGTGGATGGGAAATCAATCGGCTGATTCGGTATTGGCATTCTTCAAAAAAAATCTCTCAAATCCTTCAACTCTTTCTCACTGCTCACTTCTTCAAATCTCTTTCCTGGTTTTTCGTCAAAATCTTCTCAGATCTGATTTCACCAAAAACTTCCTCAAATCACTCTGACTTGTTACACTTCTTGGTTGTGCAATGCCTCTTCACACTTCTCGATTTGTGCGTTTACAGTCAGTTCAATGCAACATGACAGCAAAGCAATGCAGGCAACCTAAGAGACACTCAGTGCGCCTTTTTCTAACGCACCTTGAGCCAATTCCAACAGTCACAGGCTCTGATTGAACTTGTCGCTGAAAGTCTTTCCACCTAAGACAGTCCATGAGATGTTCACCTGAGAAGACAGTCGCGGCACAAACACTCCTCCTCAAGTTCTTGCATCTTTAGATCAAGGAATTGGATGCATCAAGGGCCCGCACGTTCAATCTCATGCGAGATTCAGCCAACTTGCACCTGGGCAGCACCTTTGTCAGCGCATCGGCTGGGATTTCAGCTCCAGGAACATGGCGGATTTCGATGCCTTCTGATTTAGTGTGGTCTCTCAGGTAAGAACATCTGATGCCAAAATGGCGAGTTCGAGTTGGTACTGTGGCAGTCGTGCCCTTCACTAAGTTCACTATGCAGGCAGCATTGTCTCCTCCCAAAAATGTTCCAAGTGAATGGCCAGTCACTTTTTCCAACATGACTTTCACAGGAACTCCTGTCTGAAACGTAGTGGCACTTGCATCAACCTCAGCCTCAAAAGCGCTCCAAGCAGTCAAGCTTTGTCTCTGGGATTTCCATGCCAAGATATGATCGCCCCATTTGACGACCACACCAGTTCGACTACGGCTTGCCCCTGGTGCCAGACTGGCATCACCAAAACACCAAAGAGCATCCGAAAGCCGACTGCCATCTGGAAAGGACTGAAAGAAGATGCCATGCTGGCGTGTTGCGCTCAAGTAGCGCCAGACGCCTTGACACAGTCGGGATGAAGAGCAGACATGCAAGCAATTGACCCAACCGTTGCAGCAATGTCAGGTCTGCTGCGAAGTGCCAACCATTGCAAACAGCCAATTTCTCCTTGAGCTCGACGAAGAGCGTCGGCAAAGGAGTCGTCCCTGGGCATGGCGTCTACCGTGCCTTCGGGAACAGCTGGAAGCGATGGGGAGCCCTTCATGTGAAGCCACCCACGCTTGGTAAGTTCTTGGACCAACCATGGGGTTTGATGAAGGAGGAGCCCTCCATCAGCAGATCTTCGGAGTTTCATTCCCAAGAAGCTCAGCTCCCGTTGCACCGGGAGATTCACATCATCAATCTTCATGGTGTCACCTTCTTCCATTCCACCACCGCAAAGAAGTCCTTGAAACTTCAGGTTCCACAGGGACTTGAGTTCAATGCCAACGAGCTTCAACAGCTCTGGTGAGGCAACAGCCAAGCCATCATCAACATACATCATGAAAAGACCAACACACTCACCGCCCGACCTCAAAACCCAGGCCCCATTTTCAATTGGCTCCATGACTCGTTGCCTGTAGACAGGTTGAGAACTCGGTTGTCAAGAGTCCTGTTACGCTCCTCTTCCCAAAGCTTGGGTGATTTTCGTAGCCCATAGATTGCCCGCAACGCTATCCACAAAATGTTTGGGGACAGCAATCCCAAGCGTACCAGCACTGGAGAAGGACGAATCAGGACCCTTTCGTTTCCGAGCAGAGCATTCAAGAATGCGCATGAAATGTCCAAAATCATCGCGGTCCAGTCGCAGTGCCGGGCAAGCATTGACAGTAGCAGGCGGAAGACCTCTTGCGATGGATTGCTGAAGGAATTTTCAAGCATATGAGGACTGGTGTCTTCTTGGAAATTGCCACAAGCTACCAGGCGCACCTTTGCAGTCCACGCATTTTGCACTGCATCAGCTGCTGCAGAAGCTGAAGGCTCAGCTGCACAACTACTCAAATCTGGCTTGCGAGTCAACACGAGTTTTCTGGGAACTGGTTTGGGCAGTTCCGCAACGGAGCTCAAAGACCATGCCTCTTGAGCTTCTTCGCGCGTGACTGCCTTCAGCACTTCTTTCTCTGACACGGTATCTGATTCTTTTTGGAGTCCGTGAAGCCACTTTTCCCTCTCCTCCTCAGAAATGCCTTCATCCCAAAAAACACTTTGAGAAACTGCCTCAGCCGAAGCTCTCACCAAGTCATGTGAAGAGACTTCAGTTTGATTCATATCCTCTTCTGTCTGGTGAGAATGAATGTGGTAACGAACCTGACCTTCTTCATCTAATCTGCCGGGAATCTTGTCAATGGCTGACTTGACCGCTTTGGCCACTGATCTGGAAGCGCCAGGGCTGGACAAGAGGTAGCCGTGGCCAAATTTGCAAAAGGCTTCCCATGAAGAGTCGTCACTGCAGGCCTTGATCAAATTGATGACGTCATCACCATTCAGGTCAGGTCCTGCTGCGCGCTCTTCGAAAGTCATCTGCTCCTCCCATTCTGCAGGCACATTCCACTGCACTTCACCCTTGTTAGACACCCAAACTCTCTGCTCAC